GCTGCTGCTGCTGCTACCAAGAACCACCACAGCTTGACTACCAATGCTGCTGCTGCTGCTACCAAGAACCACCACAGCTTGACTACCAATGCTGCTGCTGCTGCTGCTGCTGCTACTGCTGCTACTACTACTGCTACTGCTGCTGTTGCTGTTGCTGTTGCTGCTGCTGCTACCAAGAACCACCACATCTTGACTACTAATGCTGCTGCTGCTGCCGGTGCTGCTGCTGCTGCTGCTGCTGCTGCTGCTGCTGCTGCTGCTGCTACTGCTGTTGCTGTTGCTACTGCTGCTACTGCTGTTGCCATTGCTGCTGCTACTGCTGTTGCCATTGCTGTTGCTACTGCTGCTACTGCTGTTGCAAGCTCTACTGTTCCAACTTTCGCTGCCACTGTACTGCTATTGCTAATGAAAGTGTGAATCAAACGAAATGTGATCAAATGTCCTGATTCCCTGTTTTATACTAATAGAAACTTCACTGTTTTGTTTTAGGGTTAGTTTTGATGCGAAAATATATGTTTCAGATCTGAAAGTCTGAAATCTAGGCGAGAGATGGCGCTACGCCTAAATGATCGCCATTTTGGTTTTCGATTATCGCGCAAATAAAAGCAATAAAATATTCCAGTCAAATTACTGTAACGAAGAATCTAAAACACAATATAATTATATATTACATTTAGGTATGATTAGGTAGGTAGGTAAATTTAACAAAATCGAATGAATCTAGATGGCCATGTTCATTTTTGCCAAAAAGTGGACGTGGCTCGAATGTAGGTCAACTGGCGTGCCCCAAAATAGGACGTTCACATCTCTCCCATAGGAGTAACAACTGTATGCAATTTGAAACATGTGGGTTAAACGGTTCTCAAGTTATCGTTGACAGTAGCCAAATGTTGACGGACGGACAGACGACGGACGACACCCCATGGCAATAGCTCATCTTGACGATGTCAATGTGAGCTAAAAACTGTGACTGATGCTACTGCTACTGATTATCACATAGTTCTATTATTGGAAGATAACCACAAACGGATGTACACATGTCAGAAGACATAAAATCTATTTCTCAGTCACGGGTAATTTTTTATTAAAAAATAAAATGAAATAAAAAGAAATAAACTGTCTTTCCAAATCGCATACGTGTAGCTATGACAACAGCACATCTAAGAATAGAACGGCCATCGATTGAATGCCCGAGGTATCTAGGTCTTATTAACATTCCTTCAAAATGCCACAATGTGAGCACTATTCTTTATTGCCTGCACTGCCTCAATTTTCCAAGTCACCGTGTTATGATGTACAGTACAACATATCCATGTAGCATGAATATTCATCATATCCATGTTTTATTCTACACTTTAAATTAACTCTCTGTGCAGATCTATCTAGAAAGATACGTTTGGTAGAGTGCCTAGTCCTAAAAATCCAAAATAAAAAAGGACAATTCCATGGAAATTTCAGTTAAGGATTTTGATTTTTAAAAATCACCCAGTCTTTCTAATCAAGGATTTAGATAGCAAATACACATACACACCACCTCCACATTCCTCCCCTACACACATACCCTCAACATGGTCCATCTTTTTATATTACTTTATAAGCTTTTTGACTGATACCTTTCCAATCTGAGGCACGGACAAGAAGGTTACCTGCTGATGCTTCTTCTCCCGCATCTCACATTTTCTCGCCAACCTACACGCGCTGTGGGGTACACACGCACAGCCGAGGGGTGTTACATTGTCACCCCCACCCCGTTACAAATTAACAAGATGATCGATAATCGTATTACGAGCACTCGCTCACACGCACCAACCTCCCTCATTAATTACGATAAATCATTTTACTGAAGAATGGTCGCATCCCAGCAACAGCCCCCCCCCCCACCTCCTTGACGACATTGATCTGCTTCCGCTGCTACATCCTGCTGTAGACATGAGTCAATTTGAGTCTGTTTACGGGAGTCATGTTACCTGGTTGCATTCACGATGGATATAGCGTTAGTTTGGTGGGCGTACGAAAAAACTAGTCGGCGAATTTCAGCAGAGAAAACGCAATGCGATTAACAACTAGACAGAAGTCGAATGAAAAAGCTAGCAGCAGGAATGCGACCATAACTGCGGTGTTTGCGTTGTGATGTAATCGTAGAGCATACAGTAGCAGGCAATGATAGCAATAATGGAAATGCTTTTAGTTACAGAGTGGTTTAGAGTTACAGAGAATTAGAATGATTCTCGTCATTTCTGGTGGGATCCTGGCAACGAGTGAAAGCTGATCCCATGTAATCTTTCAGTGGGTTAGCTAGATTAGCATGGAAAGCCATCAAACATTGGCTACTAGAAAGGATCATTCCATGTCGGCATGTCTGCACTTAATTACGACTGATGCATGACTGCATTAAACGTGGGATTACAATGAGAAAGTGGAACTTAATCACAATGATACACTGAACTCAGTCTAACGACGTTTTCCTTGTGACTACCAAATTAGAAAAACTTACAAACATGGTCAAGGTAAAGGAGGGAATCTTGGGCCATCATATACGATGGCCGTTTTCACACTCCACTTCTTGGAAGAAATACTAACGCTACAGTACACATTAACTATTAATTCATCGTAAAGATGTTAACATGAGTGCATATTGGATCTTTTAACACAAACACCTCTAATAAAGAGGTAAAATTGCACAGTGGATAGCTACTACATCAGTGTAATAAACATAGATTAAATTGCAAATATGAATAAAATATGGGACATTAAAAGAGGAAAGGGTGATAAAATAATAAAGTAACAAGCAGGTGGTAAAAGGAAAATTATGATTGGGCATGATAGCGAAGAGGGCATATAAGATATATGACCCAATTGAATGCATCAACTATGCTATGTGCATCTTGTTTGTATTTTTCTGTGTGTATGCCATGATAGGAACTTGACAACAATTAGTTACTTCCCATTTATTGATTACTTACTTATAACAAAATTTAATGTTTTTGAGTTTCAACTTTTATGATATTAAAGCAATTATAGTGCAGTGATGAAGTATCAATGTACCTGGTATTGTCATAAATAATATAAGAATGAAATGTCATTGTGTGGACATTAAAAGCTTAAGTGCAAGGGGAAATAGTCAAGATAAACTACAAGAAAGAAAGACTACTAACATTAAAAAAACAAAATTAGGGGTCCTGTCACCACATGCATTTAACATGCCTTCATTTTACAAAATGATGTTAAACATAAAATGCAGCTTACTACAAATTATATTATGACTATTAAGTGTATTATGACAAATATATATATATATATATATATTATCAAGAGCTAATAATACCTAGGTATTATATTAGCTCTTCATATTAATTATATATATTTAAACATATATATTATTTCAGCACATCGCCTGTGACATGGCTTTGCATGATTTAACAGTGCTCACCTTTGATACCTTTCACCATGGCGACAGGCGGTGCTGTGTCCACGGCAGCTGTAAATATATTGAACATTAATCAATCACTCCTTTAATATAGTGATGCTGAACGTGTAAGCTATAAGCACCGACATTAAATATTAAATCATTGCGTGTATGCACAGTGTTAATTAGAATGCATTTGTAAATTTGCACACCGACAGGATGCATATTTCTTCTCCCATGCCTGTAGCGGAATCTTACACATGTATCAGATTCCAGTGCAGGTGCATAGATGCGATAACTCAATTCCCGTGAATGTTTTTGCACTGTACAGTCTCTAGGGACCAAACACAATTAATTTTCCAACTCTGCTCGAGGTAGTGGGTTGCTTGGGGATATACGAGCGTGAGTTATGTGAATCAGAGACAGTTATAGTTGCTGACGCCGACGTGTGCAAAAAGTTCACTCGGCTGCAGTTATATAGTATAGCATGAGGCTTTGCTGCTGTTGATGTGTCTTTCAGGTTTACTGCTGAGTTGCAGTTTTAACATAGTGCAAGGTTTAGATTTAGTAAGTGTACCTGGGGAACTTTAGTTTCCACTGGTGCAGTCACGTGTCACTTGTTTAAGCTAGAAACTTTTACTACACTGCCGGTGAAGGCGCATGTAATCTCATGTTGTTAATTTTACCAAAGTACTGTTGCTAATTTTAGAAATAAATTTTTAATTTAACAATAAATGAGTCACACTTGGTAGGTTATCAACATTACGTTTTTCTAAAGCTACTAGAATAGTAGATGTTGATCAGTCTTTGTTTAGCAGATCGAAACACCCCTCAAAAAATAACATAAACATAATAAAATAACAGAGGATAATTTTACATAAGAATATGGTTCTAGGGTTTATATTAATTGTAATAACCAAAATATTAAATTAATTGTGAATATTAAACCGCAATTCTTTTACATACAGAATATATATATTCGTGCACTGTACATGCGCGAAAAGGCCTAAACCATTGTATGAACATGCCGTGCCAATTGATTTTTCCATAACAAGCATGAATTTCACAGTTACCAGGAGACCAACTGTAAATTATATATAAGGAGTGTATAATATGAGAATACATCCCCCTATGTGTACGTGCGTACATGCGTGTGTGCGTGTGCATGCTTGCATACGTGCGTGCGTGTGTGCGCGTTTCACTTCACAAACAATGATAGCAATGTACAGCCCACAAAAAAGTGACCAGGTAGAATTTCATTTGGCAGGTCAGAAATAATTTATCTTAATTCAGGAGCCAAGACGGATTATGAAGTACTACACACGATGCCACGCAGAATATGCACACGAGTATATTTACCATCCACAGCTTACCTTTGGCATTATTGATTTTACAATAATGAGAACTCAGGTGATCCCTTATTGAAACGGTATCCATCACCCCATGAAAACTCTAGCATTCGTTGTATCCTCCTGATGATGACAGAAACACTGCAGTGAAACAACGAATCATCGGAGGATAAGATGGCGATCAAACAAAACGCGGCAACATCAAGTGGAAGTGTCAGGAATCATAATAATTGCATTCCCAGGCTTTTAAAATGTTTAAGAAAGAGAGCACCATAGGGGCCATCAATCAAGTCACACTGCTGCTTACCATATGAGAGCAATGTGACTGGAGTAAACACTTTGCTCAGCAATGCAAGCTAAATAATGCATTAATGTCCTTACATGTGGCAAGCACAGTAATTGACCTACTCTAGCCCAAGTGTCTGCAGCTTCTAAAGCCACGGAAAACGCTAATGAGGAAATGTGCATGTGAGCTGTGCAGCATTATCCAAGTCACCGAGCTGGAATAGAAAACATGATTGTTTGTCGCCATGAGACACTGAACCCCCCCTGAAACATAAAGATACCCATCAACAGGGAAAAAAATATAATTTTTATTTTTCGGGAGCTACTTTTCAAGCTCGCGTGCATGAAAATAGCACTCTAAAAATTTGGTTTGCATTGAACTCTATGCAAATTTCCGGGGGCTCTTTTTGGCATTTCGGGGGCTCTTTTTGGCATTTCAGAGGCTAAATCGCCCCGAGCGCCCGTGTATTTTTTTCACTGCCCATCAGGCATCATTACAGAAGACAGCAAATTTCTCATCACATATTCGCATATATAAATAAATATATAAATAAACATGTGTGCCTTCGCTCCTGCGTGTGAGGTAAGGAACACAAATAGTACGTAAGGACATCATGCACAGGGATCAACTAACCCACATGTTACTTCACAATAGTGTTAGACTTACAGCCAAACCGTGCAAGAGTTGAAAGGTATAAACTGAATCTCCCTTTCAGTGCTATAAGACTATAAGAGTGCTGTAAAGTAGTTTGAAAATAATTATGACTTTCTACGGAAGATGTTGATGAGACTGTGGATTGCATGTGTAAATAGACTTTAACTAAGGCACGAACTGTGCTGGTAAAGGGACTATATAAAAGGTATCAATCCAGGTTTCAATGAATTGATGTTCACTCCCTCTATGACTGGGTTTACCAGGATGCAGGTGAGATAGAGATGGAAGCACTAGATGACACTCTGTTGTTCACTTTTAGTGAATAAAATGATCGAGATGGCAATTATCACAATCAATGTTTATGGAGTGTAGGTTACTTAAAGAGACAGTAGCCTCTAGGATCTTACTGCATAAAACTGTACTTACTGTATAACCAATCATCTATACCCACACGTATTTGTTACCAGATACCTAATTTAATTGTTATAATTAATTACACATCAACGCTACGAAATTTGAACGACGCCATGACACCCGCGACCGTGCTGCCACCCCGAAAAAGTTGCATATTTGACAATTTATTTTGCACGTTACAGACCAAGGGCTGATCACAAAATTGCAATCATATTTATACCTAAATGCTATTTAACCGAACGATATTCATTTTAGGGCAAATTTATCCATATTATAACTGAAACTATATGTCGTTTATAAAATATTACAATCCTTTTGCTTTTAAATGAATAAATAAGAAACACCTTCGGTCTGTAGCCCTTGGCTGGAAAGTGGTTTTGCGCAACTTATCAGATCGTGCGCTTTGAGTGGCGCCACCGTCGTTGTGATCAAACTGTAGTCGTTAGTTTTAAAACGTTTTTTAATATTTCTAATGGTGATTAAACCATGAAACTTTTTATGTAGCGTAATTATAACCTAAATTAGCTGAAAATAACCCTAGAACCTAGAGTGAACTCTCACTTTAATAATTATTCTTAACTGCGCACATTGTTTTATTGCTCCTATAGATTACTGAAACAACTTTGATACATGCGACTCTCATACTGTACATCTACATACGAGATCACATTGTATTGTAACCAGTGTGTGAAACCTTACTTAATGAAAGTGTCAATGACACTGTAGCTCACCACAAAAAAGGACACAAATGAGTGAGTAAGAAGAAGTCAGTTTTAATTGAGCAACCATCGACGTACATTATAGAAACGATTGCCATCTGTATATCGCAATAATAATTTATAAACCAAAATGAATCACAATTTGTGACCGTAGATGGCGCTATACCTGCTTTGTAGCGATGGCGTTTGAAATAAATAGTTGTGTAATGTTTTGTAAATCTTTACTCTAATATAGACGAAACCCGACCTAATTTGCATAAGTTTTTTTTAAATAACATAAACCCCTAACCCTGTATTCTCACATAACGACTACAAATGAGGCAAAATGTTCGCCGTTTGAAGCCTGGAACATGCACTTAATCGCCAATTCCACCCCATACTGCCAAAAAAAATTGCCGGTCCAGTGAATCGAAAGAGTCACGCAGTCTCGACTAGGCCCTACAGATATAATAGGCCACGTTTATTAAGATATGAGCATAAGCACCCAGTAACAACTATAACCACTGCTATCAAGATTGTTCCAAAACCATGTCAGGGATAGACGAGAATGGATCCATGGAAGTAGTTCATATAACGCGGTTGACCAGCGAAGATCTTGACCGGACGACTACGATCGGACCGACGACCCATGGCCAATCGGGTCGTACAGGGGGTCGCGCGAAACTTGGAATCCTTACGCTTGCATTCTAAGAGTCTTGAAGATGGTCGCACGTTCGCATTGCCGCAGTTTCGGGCACACACATACCAAATCTTCTAGGTAGAGATAATTGGGCAACATCAAGGTAAACAGCGAAGCTTGCACAACATATGATTATGAGGATTTCGAAATGCAGTTATATCCATATAAATATAAGCAGGGTCGTATACCGTTCCTTTTTCAAATGTGTTTGGTCACCTTTTGTATCAGAATCATTGAAATGATTATAATAAATTAATTGGAATAAGATTTAAATATGCAGATAAAACTGCCTCGCTCAGTCTTGGCACATCGGTCGACAAAACACGGCAAACCGCTCCTCGGCGGTCACCGCGGGCAGCGATAACTTTGCCTCCCAACCCAACGGGCAGTGGGCGTGAACACATCGCTATGAGCGGTGTGGTTGAAACTCAGCCAATGTTTTCAAGTTTGCCCCAATCTTGAGATTGGTCAGACCAATACTCGGGAATCCCGCAGTTTGGGCAGGCCAATCGCTGCACACCTCCGGCGTCAACGTCATGATGAATTGCGTTGCCGAAGATTCGCCAATTTGGGTACAACAGCAATAGCTACAAGCTTGAAACGATGTCAATAAGGTGAGCGTAAAAATATGTGCGTGCAATTTGGAAGATAAAATTTTGCATACTACTTGTTATAATATAGCTCTACTCAAGTCATGTGTACGTAGCGGTGCACACCTTCGACCCGTCCGCTCCGCCTTAACACAGAAAGGTTTGAACATATTCGACTAATCACATCAGACAGGGGATGTAAGATATGGCAGTATGCTATGAGGTTACTGTTACTTGATCCCATAGCAGGTTCTATCCCAGCGCAAGTCTTGTATGCGGAATTTATTTGATCTGCGTATCTCTTAGCCTGCCCCAATAAGGGATGACTTCATACACACGATCGAACGATTCTGAGAGTCCTGCTTTCACAAATTATGAGCATTTTTTGGCACGTGTCATTTTTAATTTTCTCTAGGCTTCCATCTCAGCACGACGGCAGTACTTCAACCAACCGTGACCTATTTAGTCAATTTTCCAACGAGCACCAGAACAGCTTCAGCTATCCGTTATCCGTTGGCCAAAGGATACGACGAGAAAATATCTGCCGGGAGTAGGTAGAGAAACAAAATGCAGAGTTATAAAGTCGATAGCAGTGAACATTTTGTACACAATTGGAATACCAAATGAAGCTGTTGGTATATGTATTGGTGCTTAAATGAAGCGAGCGGTCGAGCGAATTTGCCGATCAACGCTTTCTACACTGCTCTCACCGTATGTCTCTTGCATTTCTATTGGTTGTTTGTGCACACCTCGATCCGGCGTTCGGCCGTGTAGCCCGACGTTGACACTATGAGCATTGACTGGCATTTACCAATTGTATTAATAACTTGATTCATACTGTTTGGCGAGCCGGAGAGAGACACAGCAGAAACATCAAAGACCTTTGGTACCAGAAGCTCGTTCGATAGTTATTCATTTCTACGGCCATTCATTTTTTGCTTAGAGTTGAAGACGAACTTCATCCCTCAGACCGTCCAAGTCCATTACGCTGTCTGAGGCTGCATGCACCGCTACGTCGGATTGCGCCAAGCCTGTCGGTCGTACCGCCCATGCTCGCATGGCTCCAACGCCTTGGCCACCCACCCACTCGGTCGGCCGTCTTGTCTGCCATGGCCCTGCTTTCGCCACACTAAATTCTCCTTTGCTGCGGCGCTGGCGAGGCGGTGCAAGTCCACTTAGGGTCGTGTGTCGCACGCGTTCCGAACTCGACCATCGTCCGGCGCGGCCGTCTGCTTGGTCCGACAGGTATCTCGGCACTTCAGCCCCAGCAAGTTCCTTGCTCTGCCCCCACCTCCAACTCTGTCGCTTCGCTGTCGGCTGGCGAGGACGTCAAGTTCATTGGGGTGGTCGTGCATTGGGGGCATTCCACGTCGACTCCAACATCAGTCGGCGTCGGCCGGCTCTTTGGTCGACAGGCATCTCCGCGCACTCAGCCCAGCAGTTCTTGCTCTTTAGGGTCCTCGCCGCCGACATCATCTGACCATTCCACCGTTCCGGGGAGCGTCTTCCCCTCGGTACGGCTCAGGTTATTGTACACAGACCACTTCACACGGTCCCGTGCTCTGTGGCCTGTATTCGACCGTAGGTACCACGACTCGACCACCAGGTATGGCCAGTCGGCATGGCCCTACCCAAACTTGACATTGTCGGGGGCGGGTAGAAGTACATACCGCTTCCAAAACAGGTAAGCCTGACGGTTTCACAGTGCTTGTCGTAGCAACCTCTTCTGCGGCCGCTCGGGCCGCTGAAGAGGCATTCTCTTTGGCTCGTTTCGTGCGCCCCAGCGCGCGTCGCTTGCCTCCCCCACTCAACATATTCTGACGGAGCAGAGCCGGATCAGACGTTCGTCGTCGGGCCGTGTGCCACATCACAGGTCCGTATGGGCATGCCGAACCTCCCTATGCCAACAGCATCTATATTCGGGCTGACGCCAGTGGCTTCTCCCCTGCATAGGTTCCCCGGATATGCTGCCCATAGACAACGGGAAATGGCCGTCCCATGTCATCGCGAGTGGTCGTTGACGAACGTCTATGCATTACATACTTACCTGGAGGGTCCGATTGAATCGGGCTCCACCAGGCCGTCCGACTGAGGGTGGGTAGGTGTGTCGTGTGCCTGGTCTTATCTCAATCCCAAGTAAATTGCACCACACCGGGCAGAACACCAGCGGACTCGAAATTTCGCCCCCTAGGTCAAGTGGAGTGTCCTCGGCACCCAAACCGTGAGAAGAACAGTTGTGACGAGGACAGTCTGCCGTCGTCATCCGCCGGTCTGGTCGGGTAGTGCGTAAGCGCTCAGTCCTATTTTGTGAAAGATAATCGCAACAGAAACGAGATGTGCTTTCTGGCTTAGATAGCATGGTATTTTTACCCGATTGGTCACTGGGGGCAGGGCCCCATGAAGCCAATCAGGGCCACAGCCGCTCGTCATGAGTGCACCGCAGCCGGCTGTTGCAGAAGTCCCGCACGGCGGCTTTCTACTTCTCCGCTCCTTTCCTCCTGGCGCACACGTCGCAGCTGCTGACACACCTCTTGATGTCGGCGCCGCATCGAACCGGCCACATGAACCTCTGACGCACAGTCCGCTCCAGCGTCTTCAGTGCCCCGAGGTGTCGACACTTCCGGCCCCATGTAACGAAGTTCATTATTCTCCATTATCTCCCGTCGCATCTCTGGGGGAAGCCACAAGCCTGGCCGCGCGTCGCCGCGCAGGGTGTCCATGACCATGAGATGGTGCAGCAGCCCGGCGTACCTCAAGCTGCTCCAATTATGCCAGAACGGCTTCCCCTTCCCAGGAGAGACTTGCCAAACTCATTGTAGGTGGTTGTCAGCGTGGCCCGCTTCAAAGCAAGGATCTTCTTGATCATAGGGATCCGCCAGTGCTGCCACTTTTCTACCTGGGCGGTGTCCCATCGGTCAAGCGCGCGTCCCCCATCCTGTCTCTGGCACCGGCTCCATGGTCGCTGGCCGATGCCTCGCTCAATCAGCAACGAAGCAGCCCGTCTCGCACTCAACACTGCAGTCTGGGCAGTCAGGCACGCTTACACGCCGTCGACACCAGGGCTGCCGCGAACAATACCGTCCTGGCGTTGCTAAATGAAAGCGCTCCCGGGGCGATGTGTCGATTTCCAATATCGAACGTCCCAGAGGTAGCGATCCACCTCCCGCCAGATGCCACCATGCCTTACTGGGCTCCATTGAAGTTCAGAAGCCAGGTGAGGCGACCGCATGATCGCGCGCACGTGAAGTGTCGGTCCGTGGAGGTTAGTGGCCGAATTGCTTGACGGCGTCACTGACGGCCAGCGAACTCCGGTTGTGGTACAATACTCCGCTGGCGTCTGGGAGACGCGTCCTTACTGGATGTAGGCGATCACGCCGCTCCACTCCCCTTGACACCTGGCGAAAGCACTGCCCCCATACCGGTTGCACATGGCGTCGGTGTCAACGCGTGAAACTCCCCCACATCTGGTAGGCTGGTAATGCCAGTACCCGGGCGCCTCTGGTCAATTTCTGGCTTGAGCGTGCAGAAATCTGCCGACCTGGCAGCTCTCCGTCCAGCGAAACGGATGGCCTTCCCGCGTCAGGTCGGTGAGTGGACCGCCGCCACAGTCCGGCAAAACAGCCAGGGATGAACGCCGCCGATAAATAGTCTGGCAACCAGCCGAGAAAACTCCTCACTCTCGCTAAAAACACCTCCGGTCGTCCCGACACTACGGCCCCAACTTATCCTCGCGGATCACAGCTGAACAACCATCGACGACAACGCACATGCCGAAGGAAAAACGGCACTGATAGGCTGGTCCTTGTGGAACAGACCTAGCACTGGACGGCTTCAGGCACAGTCCCCCGGCCTTCCACGCAAAACGCTCAAACACACGCCAGGGTCGGCGAAGGTATTGTCTACCAGCGCACCACCGAATGGACCGAAAACAATTAAACATCGTCAGGTACACGTAAGCAACTCCTCGCGTCCACTGAGGCCCTTCAAGACCGAGTTCCATTACCGTTCAAAGGTCGGGTGGCATTGACGAGGCCGAATGGCATAACGCGATTGAACTATAGCCTCGCTTTAAATTAAAAAACCGCCAAAACAGCAGCTCTTAGGCTGGCATACCCGGGGATCCATTTCAAACCTGCCAAAAATCACACTGGCCAGATCAAGCGGGAAAACCATGTGGCCCCAGCGAGGGAATCCAAGTATCGTCAATGCGGGGGCAAGGGGTACGCAGCAGCATCCTCCTCGTCAAGCACAGGCGACTCATCTCTTGAGCTTTGCGGGAAGTTGATGCAAAACCTCACTGCCACCGTCCGCTTGGTGACTACGAACTACTGAGAACCCATGGCTATCGCTTAGGGCGGCACGGATACAAGCATCCCAACTTTCGGCGATAAAGCTCCTCGGTCTAAGGCCATGCTGCTGCCAGCGACAACGTCGAGAGCCTGCTTACATCGGGTAAAGGTTACCCGTGTCGATGGTATGCTGACAAACACCCGTGGCCCAACGCTCCACCCTGCTGCAAAACAGATCGCCGTAATCGTAACGCTCTCTATTACGCGCACCACGGGGGTCTGCTCGGTCGTCACATGCTAAGCATACCATCCCGTTGATTCAATACGCTGAGATGTAACGGCACTTGCTGCAACTGGGCCTTCCTTCCGCCGGTTGCAACTCGCCATCAGCGCGACAGTCTCCCTACTGAGGGCCAATAGTCCTCTAAGTGTGGCCAACTCTGCTCCTTGCTGGAACTGACGACCAATCCTCGGACACGGCGCACGTTGACTTACGACAGAGGCACCCGGTTGCCCGCTGTCAGACTCAATACAACAGAGGAGCGATTTGCCATCACAGAACTCCGCCGGCGCGGCGTCCTGCGCATGGGCCAACAAACCGACAGCGTAGGTTCCCGCATGGCCAGAAACCGGGCAGACCAACACCAACGCTGACCACGCGCCACGCACTGCCCTGGCACCAAGCGGCTCGGTGTCCACCGCAGGAATCTCACACAAGTTTTCGGGCTGCACAAAACCCAAGAACGGACGATCGTCGACTAAGGCCGTCCCGCCGTAGAGGGCATGAGTAACCACCCTTTGATCTGAGGTAGCCAGCGAACCCGGTCCAGTTGACAGTGTGCGCCCCATGAAGTCCATGCTAGCACGCCACCAACTTGACTCCCATCTGTAACTACCCAAGCACGCAAGATCGTGCGCAAATAGCGGCTGGCCCCAAACCCAAAGCTTGGGCACTTCAACACTCGCCCAGCGCGGGTCAATGGCCGATGTTGAACGTCCACCACCTCGCCAACGTCGGGGCAGTCCGGCTTCCACCTGATGGCAACCTCTCGTAGGCACCGGCACCGCGCTATCATAATAGGGCACCCTCTGCAACCCTGTGTCAACAGGCAACTCTAACCCGCCTTCCCGACACACTACAAGTCCAACGATACTTCGCTTACATGGGACGGCCTATGTAAGTACGCTGCGTAGCGCGCCCGGATCTCCGACCATTCTCTGGTCGCTCTGTCTGCCGTTTTCCCATTCGGTAGGCTCGAAGCCCTGAATCGGCACAAGACTGATCGCGCGCTATCCCTAGTCCTTTTTCCCGGCTAGAAACCCACCGGCCCAATGGTTCTCGACTCTTTGGTCATGCGACGGGACCCGCCTTGTAAAGGTTGTCGACCGAGGTGATTGATTGTTCACCTGTCCAACCTGCTCAGCCTAGGCGGTGCCCGCCCGCATCCTTCGTGCTGCGTCGGCATAGCTTTGTTGCGCCCATTGTCACTGGTACTGGCCTCGTGGCCCATAAGGTCGAGCTCTGTTACTCGCCGGCGTCTCCATACCCGTTCCGGGCAACTCTCGATACGCAGCGAATGGCCACCTCTCCGCACTCGTAGCAGGTCATTGGTTCTGCGTCCCTGACCAATTGGACCCGTCTCATTAATGGAATCCTCCGACCCGCGCTGCCAGGAGCCCGCCGGGCAGTTGAAGCGCGGGTCCGCCCATTCTAGGTACCCTTAGCATACTGCTTAATTTCCTTGAAGACCCTCAGGGACAGAAAGAACAGCGGCTGATGGCGTTTTCCCGCCCCCCGGAACTGGCTTCCTCAGATTTTCAAAACACTGATGGTGCCACCCTGGGGCTCTTCAGCGTGGGCGGCCCAGCGCACACACCAGCATGTCATAGTCGTGGCTACATGCCTGACTGCTTATGAGGCGTACATCCCCTTTGTTAGGATATACGCGCTAGGGCGGTGGCCCTCGTGGGCAGTTCATGCCACAGTCGCCCCTTGAAGGCATCGATTAGGTGCTCTGAGCCGCCCCCACGCATGCCGACCTCCGTAAAAAAAAAAGCCTTAAAAAACGTTTACCGTTAATAATGAAAAATGAAGCCATTGCCTCCCTGCGACTGACATAAAAAACATAAATACCTTCCACGAAGACCACGCTTTAGCAGAGGGCAGATATAGCTCCAATGCGATTTTCTCTCTACATGTCGATTTGAGATTGAAACAAGACAAATTTGGATCGTCTCTGCAAACGGCCGCCACGCTCATTGAATGCTGTTCATTGTTGTCACAACATAGATGGCGACTCTGTTTGTTAGAAACGAAAAAGCAATGATAAAAAAAAACTATCTAAAAGGCCATAGGCCAGACAGCATTAAATTATTTAAATATTATATCACCGTACATGTAATATTACTAACGTCAGTCTATATGTAATTTTTGTTTATTAACAT